TCCAATCATCAACCACCGCCTTCGGTGTTGGTCGCTTTTGTTTGCCCTTAATTGTTGAAACGCTCGGTCCATATATCTTTTCAGAGATATTAACATCTTCCTCCGTAATTGGACAATTTTTGAAAAATTTCCCCGAATCGCCAACTTGAATAGTTCTGCACCAGGTGCCCCCATCATATGATAGCCACTTCGTGCAACATTTGCTCGTTTCACTTGTTTGTTTGTGAAACCCTCTTTGTTCTTCTCCACGCTCTGTAGAGCACAGTACCCTTCCATATCATCATTTAAATTGTTAGGTACTATGTGAATTTGATCTAGTTCCATGCCAGCAGGAACTTCATCATATATAAATCCTCTTCCATCTGTCCATTCGTGAAAATCTTTCAGAATACCTTGTCGTTTTGCTTCTTCAGCAAATGTAACCGGTAGTCTGGAAAAGATGTCTAAGTCATCAAAATCCCATCATCGGTATTTAGCCAGTTCATAACACCATTGAGCAAATTTCGTCCATTTCCACAAATCATGATATTCATTCATCGGTTCTCCCATATTAACGGTACGTCCGCCACTCGTCAGACCCTATTATGGTGGAAGACCCAGGTTCTAAAATCACCCACAGACCTAAAATAAAAAATTTCTCCATACAAAAGTCTTAGTTTAGGTCCTTATCTTCCATCCTATTGGGTGGGGTCATCATGATTGTGCTCTAGACATTCACTGCAGTTGAGAAGGTAGTTGATGCATTGGACAGCAATTCAGATCATTGGTTGTTTTGGTGCCTTATGAGTACAGTGTGACCTGAAATCACTCATGGGCAATCTGAGTTCCGATTAGTAGCTGGATTGTAGCATTCTTTGATGAATTTCAGGCACATTTTGTAAGTTGTAAATTTTCAATTTCAGTCCACAACAGGCCTAGTGACAACTTTTAGAGCTACAGTGACTTCCCTGAGCATAATGATAACAGCCCCACCCAATAGGATGCACGATAAGGACCTAAGCTAAGACTTTTGTATGGAGAAAAACTTTATTTTAGGTCTATGTGTGATTTTAGAAGATGGGTCTCCCGCCAAAATAGTATGAAATGGGCTTCTTGAGCGGCGGACGGACCGTTAATATTGTACACAACATCAATATTCCACTTGTATAGGGTCTTTCCCTTTTCGTGTGGATATAGATTGTCCGGCAGATTTGCGTCGAATCCCAACATCACGATCAAAGTCCGATCGTACGTGTCAAAAACTTTGTATTTGGAACGTAAAAACTCATATTTCGTCATATCCCAACAGTCCTTAGGTTGACGTAAATCAACTGCAGATGGATTTTCCAATCTTTTCTTTCGGCTCTTTTTGGCGACAGAAACCGATTTGAATGTGGACCCGCCCGCCTTGTTGGCAGTCGTTGAAACAACCTTCAATGATGTATACTTCCCCATTGTAAAACAGTGAAATGCCGTTGAATTGATAAAAACTTCAGCAATTTCTATGTAGACTCTAGTACTTAGGCTACAAAGACCGTTTGCAAAGTTCTGATCGATTTGGTGCTTTTCGTTTATCGTTTTCTTTTTTCTATAGGTCCTGCCATAGCTCAAGGTGCAAGATAAGGAAGGCAGCCAGGTTTTCTTGAGAACCTCCTGTGCCAATGAGGCAAACTTTTGGCGCACCACAAACACGTAGAAGCCATCAATCGGGCCTGGTAGGATCAATTGGAAGAGACCGGCTGGGCCCTGGTTCAGTTCAGCATCCATTGCTGCAAGCCATGCACTTCTATTGAAAGCTTCAGTGATGGTGGCCTGTTCAGATGCAGAAAGTTTTGCCCGAGCGGAAGACTTGGTAGGAGGGTTGGTTGCCGACTGTGGGGTAGGAGAGGTTGATTCAGGTGAAGGCGGTTTGGGAGGTGTGGGGGAAGTCTCCGTAGGCTTCTCAATAGGTTTCTTGGACTGACTTTTCTTGGACTCCTTGCGACTAGACCGCTTGGTGGATGGAGTGAGGAGCGTTGGCTGGACTGTGGTTGGAGGAGCAGTCACTCTCTGGTTGGTTGGTGTCGGTTCCTGAGACGCTGGAGCACCGGCAGGTGGCAGCAAGGGAGCATCTGGAGAGTTCGCATCCTGTTTGGCTGGTTGTTCAGGCTTATCACTTGGAGGTTTCTTGACCGCTGGTGTGCACTGAATCGCATGCAGGAATTGGAGGAGGGACTTGCCCTTACCCTGTTTGCAGTACTTGGGGATGAAAACCTTTGTCAGCATGCCTTGGATAGGAAACAGTGGAGCCAGGGAGGTACAGGTCTTGGAGGTAGTGTCATGGGTGTTGATGAGTTTCCCAATGATGCCATTCCACTGTCCCCCGGTTGAGCAAGGTTGCCAAGTCGTTCCTTTGTAATTGCCCCCCAATCGTAGACAAACTGAGTCGGGGCACCAAACGGCATGTGACATTTCTTTGTTTCCAGCCGGAGCCATGCAAAAAGGGCACATACCACTCTATCCACATCAGAAGCACCGACCCAGATGTGCCGCTTTTGGACCCTTGGAGGGCATCCATTTCTGGCCAGAAGTACCAGGGTTCTGTGGCCACGCAGGTTCCAAGGCAATGGCTATCTTGAAGTTGAAATGGCGTATGAGTTTACTTTTTGAAGTGCCGCTCTCCCAATCCCCATAGGGTAGTTGAGTAGCCAGCCAATTTGGACAGGGTCACTAACTTCTTGCAAAGGGGAACAAAAGACGCCTGCATGCGTGCCAGTGATCTCGAAACATTGTCCAAGTAGTCGAGACATGTTGTCCAATGAAGAATTGTGGGCCACGCAAATGCGGGTGCGGAGGGTCTTGGGGCAAGGGTTCTTGGCACTGGAACCAAATCTAGCTCCATTATTCCAGGACCAGTCAACGTAGGGCTTGAGCTTCTTGTAGGTGAGCTCCTCAACTTTCTCCTTAGAAGTCAGCCACAGCTTCTTGTCTCGTACATGGAGTTCGCTCACCGGAAGAATAACCAGGTCGCCTTTGGCGTTGTCCATAGCCATGGACAGAACAGAGACCATTTCTTCAATGAAACATTTTTCAATAGACCTCAGATGTGTCCCCATCCCATTCATAGTTGATTGTAGCGCAGAGGAATTGGGCATTTGTGCAAGGAAGCCCGGTCAGATTCATCTGTGTCAATTCTCGAGCCTTCATTTCTTCAGAGAGGTACTTGGTCCGAATAGCAGCCTTCTTCTGTGAGGCGGCAACATAGGTGAGTTGCTTCTTCACTGAAGGAGGAGCTGGGAGTCTGGAAGGTTTGGGAGGAGCAGGTTCCAACAAGTGGGAGTTGATTAACATTGTTGCCAAGGGGTAATTGGCCCGCTGGGCTGGGGCAGGTGACTTCCCGACAACCACTTCAGTAGGGGGGTGGTCCGAGTTAGATGGTGCCGAAAAGTCCGGAGCCGACTCAGCGGACTCAGAACCATCATTGTCAGACCAATAACCAAACTCGCCGTTGACTGGTTTATTGGTGGGGCTAATTACCAATGGACCCGTTGTGTCCACCATCACTGCATCTTCCTTGTCGGGGGCCACAGAATTGCAAACTGGTTTCGGGGTGGCATCCAAATTGGTTTAGAGCTTGGAACTGTGTGAAGTTTTGGGATATACCTGATTATGAAGCTGAGTACTTCTGAGAAAAGGATCCAGAACTGTAGCCCCATAGCATAATGATGTCAGAACCTGTACTGTTTTCATATAACATTATGTTTCTGGTCTCGCTTGAGTTTGACGCAGGATTGATGCAACTGTATGTGTTTGAAGCGGGATTGACGCAACTTGAAATTTGAAGTTTCGTGCGTCGCGCTTCAAATTGACGCGGGGCGTGCCCGATAGTACTGGTGCTGGCACCTACTAAAGATTTTACTCCGCTTGCCGGGGTAGTTGGTACTGTACTGTAGAAAGGGACAGGCAACCTATCCAAAACTGAAATCTAGCAGAATAACACGGGCATACGCTAAAACACCAGTTGATTGACTACTTGTATACTATACACTCCAGATAATTAATGCCTGCAGTCAACTGGCTAACAACGAAAACGCATGTAAAAGTTGATTAAGTACGAGTGAAGCCCATTGTTCCTGTCTAGTCATCGATGATTTTGAATGCCTGGAGGGGAAAGAAAAAGTCTTGGCTCATCACAGTACCAAAATAGCTATGCCTCTTCCAGGCTCCCTCATGAAAGTGGTCTACATCCTCCAGAATTATTCTGATTCGAAGAGGAAAATGAATTACCAGTTCAAGGGTCCCATCTTCCAACACTGAGGTATCGATCCGCTCACTCAAAAGTATGGTCATCCGAGAAGTACAGTCTTGGAGCCAATACTCCTTCGAGTTGATTTGAGTCAGATTACTACCAGAAATTGGCGTTTCCAGCTTCAACATGTACCCCTTTTGAAAGTTGCCATCGATATCAAAGTCTGTCACCCCATCTTGGTCATAAATCGATCGTGTTACCAAATTGTGGTCAATCTTCAAGGCTCGATTTGTCTCATCAATCGAACATGTCTTGTCATGGATACTGCTCTCAACTTTTAATGGTCTCCTAGACGAAATTGACAGCCAATACTCCTTGAATGGATGGCTCACCAAACCAAACTTATTCTGACATGTCAAGTGTGGCACACGAGGTTCTCGAATCTCTTGTAATACATAGTCAAAGCCGAAACCATGCCTCAAGGCATATGAAAATTTGCAAATCCTGCATGTTGAATGTGTTTTTGTAAAGTCATACTTCCTTAAAAATTTCTCTTCGAGATTTTCTTCCCTCCATTTATGATATGAGTTGTAAAGGTCTTTGTTCTTGGATAGTCTGATTAGGTAATCTGCGAGGTCCTGTGGGGATTTGAAATCATCAGCAAAAATAGCTGACTTCTGCGGAAGATGTTCCCGAATGTTCGGAGCACCAAAGTACACAGGAAGAGTACCAGCACTTAGAGAGCCCCAGAGTTTCTCTGTAATATAGTCGTCAGATCTTTGGTTCTCAAACTATTTTTTGGGTCGGTGAGTGCACTAATCCAATAAACAGATCCAATCAATCGACATATAAAACACGCAGAAGACTGACTCACGGCAAGATAAAATAGATACTGTTCTTGAATCTGGGTAGTATTCGATCGATCGATGCCTGTTTGCGGCTCTGAATTATGCATGCAACCACTCGGTGAATCAACCCGCAGCTTCGTCTGCATCAAAGCCTCCACGAGCGACTCTCGGTCACTAAGAGATGCGCAGTTGTTCGCTAAGAAAAGCGCTCCTTTTATTGCTATATCGTAGTCGACTGCAACGTTATTTATCTTGTACTCTGCCCAAGAGAAATATGGCATAGGAACTTCACTACGGAAGGACGTTGTAGCGTAGAAACGATCACGCTGGTAGGCTTCGCCGTCAATCCTTGCTTCGGGGAAGTAGTGTTCGCCTACATCCCACGTACAACCAAGAGTAAAACGTTGAGGCATTTGGGCTCGGGATCTTGAGCAACTATCTCTTACCTACCTTCCATAGTAGCCACGATTTCCCAGGGTGTATTTTTGACACTAATGATTGGCATAACGTTCCATAGGTTTCCGTTGCCATTTGTACGACACGGAATTGGGCATTCGAATGGAACTGTCTTTGATTCCTCGCTACTATCAGAAGCTGCACCAGAATAATCCCAATATAGTTCTACAGGTGACATGTCCTTTCCAGATATACTAGGTGGCCTTGGCGAGAATAAGTGACTTGGATTTCTCACACAAGATGATGGATACTCGTCGAAAATAAACACACCACCACCACCTTGAATAGTTTTCCCACACCAATGCCTGTTTTCTGGAATTACATTCCGGATCAAAAGGCGATGTCCTTGTTTTCTATCGCAGTCTCTATCTAGACGGCATGGTCGTAGTTTGTCGATAAGATGCTTAAATTCTGCTCTTGATCTCCTAATATCCTCCCTTTGTTCATTTGTCTTTGCCTTAAAAATCTTTTTCAGTTTCGGCAACTTCAGATCCTTGAACATCTCATGAGGGGTACTGCCATCCAAAAGAGGATTAGCGAAATCTTTTATATTCTCGTCGTAGATGACAACTAATAGAGCACAAGTACAAACGAAGACAAAAACGACAAGATGAAAGCTTGATTCTGTATCTTTCCCAGTACTTGCTCTCCGATGTCGACCTTTGTGGATCCTGAATGGGTTGTCTACTTTCCTTCCAGAGAGTTTTGGTATCATACCAATTGTTTGATGACATTGGCAGTAATGATGGTTCAATTGGCAAAAATGGTGATTCTCAGACAAATGGCGGACGTTTTGTAGGACTCCTTTTAAGTAAATGGGCGGACAATCGGGCTTTTATACTATGCTGGTGCAACTATTTATACTAAATCCCCCGGGGAAAAATAAGGGGGAAGAGGAAGAAAAAGGAAAGAAAAGAAAACGAAGAGGTGACAAGGTAGAATACTGTTAACGATGCTATAGATCCGAGACCGATATAGCCAGACAGTAAGATAAAACAGAGATTCTATCCTTTTAATGATGTGATGTGATTTTACGATCTCCACAAAAGAGTGAG